GACCGAGATTCAACGAAGCTCTTCTTGCGGCCGGAGTGGTCTTTGACCCGTGGCAAAGTTTTTTTTACTTATGTTTTTCTGAGCGGGAAAACCGCATGCTTTCCGCAAGGTTACAAGGTTTGAGGCCGCGCCAAAGAGAATCCACGTGAAAAAAATGTGCCGCGCTCTCGGCACAGCTCTCTGGTCAACGGAAACCAACACATTGGCTGTGGCTCAAAAAACCGGTACCAAAATGGAACCTTGGTAAGTGGAAACATGCACCCCACCCGCGTAACCCCTCCTGTTTAATTGTGGGCCACAGCCATTGTCACAAATTGCTGTCTCAAAATGGGAAGCCCCCATAGTTGGCTTCAAGAAGGCACATCCATGTGCATGTGTTTCACGCACATGCGCGCTCGTTTGCCTAGCGACCCTGGTAGACTTAAAGACCCCTTGGTGGTTGATTCCATTGGCGTGAAACCCATCAGAACACGACACAAAAGGCATTCTTGCTCGCTTGCCGCTGTACAACTGGGAACCCAAACAAACTCATCAAAGGATGTTTGGCTGAGGGAAATCCATGAAAAAAACAGCCCCCATTTCTGAGGGGGACACAAACATGGGATCTTTCCATGGCCGGAAACGGGTTGGCGAACTTGCCGCTGCAATCCGCGATCCACGATCGATGCACGCCTGGTGCACGCAGCGCCTGCGCGAAAGGAGCAGAGCTGCCACCAACCCCGGTGCTTCTACGCAGTGAGACATAATCTCACTTCCCAAGTTGACTGGCCAAAAAAGTCTGAACTTTTTATTTGCCACTAAAATGGTCTTTCCAAAAAGTTTAAAGTCCATGAACTCAGGAAGTGAGTAATTATTTCTGTGATATCTTTTACCTACCCACGAAAGTGGCAACCCAAAACGACTAATTTCTCACACAGGGACGCCTCAAACAGCGAAAAATGAGCGCAAACAAGAAACACACTCAAAAAAGGGGTACACCCAAAAAAAGGAGTACACCAAAAAGGCAGCAATCTCAAACAAGACCCTCAACAAAGGGGTTGCTTCAAACAGGAGGCACAGTCGCAAAGTGCACAAGGCAGTGGTGTTTTAGGGTTCGAGCGAAAGAGACTCTCAGTGCTCATGGGAGGGAGGTACACCAAAACATGTGGTAGGCACTCTCACAAAGCAGGTAAGTGCAACATTCTCATTTTTGACTCCCCGTTCTCTTCACTGAATCGTTCCGGCCCATGTTTCGAAGAGGCGGATCCCTGAGAAGCATCAGGCTGTGCCGTGCTTGCTTCAGGGTATCCATTTAATTTGTTTCCCATTCTTTGGCGATTTTTAAGGAAACCACGAGAGAAAAGTCATCATTTTGGCAGTCCCAAAAAAACGCACACCCAAGGCTTATTTTTTTTGACACCACAAGCCATCATTTCGGGGGTCCCTAAACAAAAAGGCACACCCAAGGCGGATGGGTACCCTCAGACCCCAAGCGCAGCGTGTGCAGCGTGACTCGCTGTTCGGGCTCCCCGGCAGATCGAGCAGCAGCCAAAAGCGGAGCTCAGCCACGCCTCCCCGCGTGCCGGGCTGAGGGGCTGACGGGCTAAAGCCATGTGGATGTTGCCACTGGCTCGTCTTCTTTTAGGGGGCCCCATGGCCAAACGGTTTTCCAAAGACGAGCTGCAAGATGTGCGGCTCAAGCTGAGACGTACGCACACTGAAACCACAAAACGAGAGCCATCTGGATGCTTGGACAGAGGAGGGTCACTCTTAGTGGATTCAAAGCGCTGCTCAACGCGACGGCATGCATTCAGAAGTCCAACATTCCGAATGCCTGTTCACAAATATATATATATATATATATATGGGTGTGTCTTTTCGTAGGGTGTCTTTCCAATTCAATTCAAACCACCAGAAATAACGAAGGGTACCCGCAAAAAAAGACGAGCCACCCACATCCAGACCACGAGGGCGCTTTGCTTGAACAAGTCCCAGGAGAGTTTCCTAGACTCCGAGTGGCCATGGGCAAAAGGATTGGCACTCTTGTTGGTCCATGGAAGGCAACGCCTCCAAAAAATGAACCCAGAGTATCTAGGTCCTCCAGTAGAGAGGTTAGAACCCTTTTTGCTGTAGTCTACTTTAGTATGGGAGCCCTCCCCCAAAAAAGGGTAACAGGACACTACTGGGGGACCTAGGTATATCTCCACCAGAACCCCTGGAACAATCCAGAACCCTCCTTTGAAAGCTGCTCCAAACCAGCCCCAAACAATCAATCTCTGGGCAGAGACCCCATAGTCTTCAGCTGTTGAGCAAGCATTAGAAAAGGAGCACCTGGGCGTCCGTGGCTCCTGCTCATTCAAAAAAAGGTTCCTTTATACTCGGAGGAGGGTCAGGACGCCAACGCCGCATCCCTACTCTTTCAACAAACTGAGTCCAGCACCAGGAACAAGAGGCCTCAGCTGCGGTTGGCCGCAGTTCCGCAACGCCAGGAACAACCAATGATGGTCCAAAAGAAAACGCTTGAGCAACGCCTGAAACCCATGGATCGCTGGTTCTACCACAAGTGTAAGAATGGCAGGAATCTCTACTAAACCAGGTAATTTAGTAGAACCCCTTACAGTACCAAACCAGGCGGTACGAATTTTGGGCGCTGCTATGTCTTGATGGTGCTGTCTGCACAATCCAGGGTGCTCTTAAAGTCTTATGACTGGCTTATTCAGATTGCGCATAAAACCCAGACCCGCAGTTGAACGGTCACGACCGCGGGCCTTCAAAACAAACAGGGGCAGACATAACATTTGACAAAATAAAACAAACAAACACTTCAGCAAACGGAACCCATCACATCCGGTGTCCGCTATGGTCGGCCACCGCGGGGAAACCAACAAAAAGAAACGTAAGCTCATGTAAGCTCTGTGATACCGGAAGCCACAAAATTGTTAAACTCACATACCGCCCCCCCTCCCCCCCCGTAAAGCAGGGCGTGAATCCATTTAACACGGGATGCAACTTCATGGTTGACCCCGCAGATCAAGCCAGTTGAGCCAGTTGGAATGGATGAAACCCTTTGACTGGGATAAAAACCACCCAATTGGTGCAAACAAACAAACAAACAAACAAACAAATAAACGAAATGGATGGTTGTCCATCCACAATAAGCCGGGCATGGGAAAGGCAAAGTCCACTCGGCAACACATCCAGGGCCTCAGAGAGGTTCTTAGCGCCGTCTGTACCAAGCTTCACTGGACCAGTCTCTGCCTAAACCTGGTTCGATAGGCGATCCTAGAAGCATGCAACTGAAGGCTTCCTTTCATGTTGGCAAAGCTATATGTTCAATCAAACCGACTTAACAGAACATAGACATTCAAACAAAACAACAAGATTGAAACATAACGCCCTCTCCAGCAAAGCAAACGATCCCTTTCATTCGTGCCAAACCAACGGGGGCCCCAGCGGATCATCGCGGTGCAACGGCTCCCCGGGTTTGGCGGGGATGTGCTCGCGCGATGGGCAGGGCAAAAACGGGGGGAAGGCTTGAGGCTGCGAAAGAAGTGAAGCGAGGGGTGTTGATGCTAGATCTTGATTCATGTTGCTCCCTAAGTGAGGTAGAAAATGGTTTTGATGCTAGATTCTAGATCTTAGTTGCCGTTGATCCCTGTGCAAAACGTGCAACTATTTTGGGCCAGTGAAATCCACGGTCTCCACCAAAAAGTAAAAGTACGAAGATCCAACCAAATAGGCATAAAGGAAAATCATGCAGCGTGGGGCTCGAGGAAACCCAAATGCTGGATAGAAACAAACATTCTTGGCCGCTGTTGAAATGCAAAGACCTCGTTGAGGTTGCTGGCTCTTCCTGTTCGCCCATGTTGGTCCTCTCCGCGCCGACTTCCTCCCCAGAGACTGTGAGCCAGCGCAAGCGGAAGGAGGAAAAAGCCAACTTCAGCGAGTCAGAACCAAAGCGCCTATCCAAGTCCAGGTGTCATCATGGGGGCTTTCGGGCTGCAGTGACCAAGCTGGGTATGGGTCAAAACAAAGCAACCTGGGGACCGCATGTTTTAGTGCTTGGTTCCCATTGGCAGGGTTCGACTTTGGGTACATATTTTTGACCCACAGCCAGCTAAATGACTGGCTTTGTGCTCGATAGCTGACGACAGTTCGCGCACAAGCTCCAAGCTCACCTTCTACAAAGCAAGAACATTTGGCTGTGGCTCAAAAAACCGGAATTCCAAAATGGAACCCTGATAAGTGGAAACATGGACCAAAACCCGCGGTTTGCCCCTCCTGTTTGATTTTGAGCCACTGCCATCTGGGTAGTCGAAGAAGGCCTTGGGTGTCCCCTGCGTTTCCACGTCGCAAAAAGGGTACCGATTTTCCCTCCAACCTGGCACCTGGGGTCCTCAGGGAGGGTGCCTGGTTGCCTCTTCCCTGGTGCCGTGTTCGGGGATGGGAGGGTATCCTCAGAAAAAGGTAACTTACCCCTTAAAACTCCAAGGATTGGGGAAGTTCTCATCTTTTACAGACACATAGCCCATGTTACCCCCAAAGAGTTACGAAAAGTTGTGTTTTTTAAGAGGCAAGGTCATCGAACAGCTCAAAACTCCAAGGATTGGGGAAGTTAGCCTTTTACAGACATATATAGCCCATGTTACCCAAAGAGTTCTGAACAGTTTTGTGTTTTTAAGAGGCAAGGTAATCTAAAACAGCTCAAAATCAGCCATCGGACAGCAGCTCCTGGCACGGAAAGTGGTTCATCCAAAGCGGTCTCGACGCAGCGAGGCCAAGAACTCGCGGTGAACAGCGGCAGGCCGAGAGTTCACCGCCTGATTTGCCAAATGACTGGCGGAAAAAACCTGGAGGTCTTGCACGGAGTCTTTCCAGCACTCAGTTGGCGCTTTGGATTGGTGCCTTTTGAACAGTTGAGCTGGATCCTTTGATACAAGCAAACAAAGAAGCTATCCCTGAGCCAACCAATCCAGATCCTAAACTGCAAGCCGTGCTGCAAGCCATCAACCCAAGCTCACCAGCGGACTTTTTTTGCGTGGAACCCTTTCAAGAGGCTTCCGCCACATGGGGTTGATGAACAGGTCCTGTGCATGGGATGACCATCAAGGAAACCACACGTGTGTTCCCTCATGCATTTGCCAGCCCCGCTCGACTCTCAGCTCAGAAGAAGAGTTCGCGCATCAAGAGCTGTCGCACCTTTGCCACGGTGGCTCTGGCCATGTTGGCCTGGCCCAAGGCTTCGTAGCTCAACAGCAGCGACTCCTCGCGTGAACGCCCCACATACTGTGGATGGATGCGAACTCCGGAAATCGCGCCACTTTGAAACCAGAAAAAAAGACGTTTGTCGGAGAGTGGAGGGGAATCATCAGAAACCAGGGTTTCTTAGGTGGTGCGAAATGGATTTCGTCCATCCACAGTATTGCCAGAAGAAAACATCGTGAAACGCGGAATTTACAGCAGATTTTACAGGGTGATTTGGCTGGATGTGGTTGGTCAACACACCCAAAGGCGACACACCCATCACAATTTTCAGGGTGGCCGGGCATCTGTCTCGGCTGGTTTAAAGTGATGCGGTGTTCACATCAGTATACACAAGTGACTCAAGTGGTCCAACCTGACGTATTTGCGTTTTTGCTCTAAGGAGGTCCAGCTTGAAAACGGACACGGTCCGAAAAAGGAGAACCTTACGATGTCCCCCATGGCCCATACGAATTGACCCGTTCTTGAAAAGTCTCCCCTCTTCCAGGGCTTGTTTTTGACCACAGTTCAACCAACTTCCTACCCATGCGACCTTACCATGGAAGGTCAGGGTTGGCTCTTGCTATTCACCAAGCAAAAGCCAAAACGCCCTTCCCTCCCCCAGCCCCCTTGGCCCACCCTCCCCTCCCCCCCCCCCCGCAGCCGGCCGCCGGCTGGGTCCCCGGGCGAAGGAGGCCTCGTCCGGCGCCAGGCGCGGCGCCATGCGCTGCGCCAAGGCCGCCGCCGACTTTGCGGCGGCGGCGCGGGAGAAAGCGGCGAGCAGCGCATTGAAGGCTGGGAGGTCCAGGCGGACCTCGGCTCGACTAAGAAATCCCGGCGGCTGGGAGGTCCAGCTTTTGATGGAAGCGACTCGCTCTTCCGAAAAGACTGATTGAAGCTCCTCATATGGAATGAGTGTGTCTTGTTTAGGGACCGACATTCCTAGGGAATGAGTGTGTCTTGTTTTGACAAAGACCCCCGACATGTTGAGGCCATTTTGAGGTTGGAAGGAAAAGGGGGGACCACTAGCAAAAAAGGCACCAGTTGAAACCCAATATGGACACATGCTCGTTGGCGGGTTGATTGAATCTCGTATGGATGGTGGCGAAATCCAGTTCGCACCACCTACGAAACGTTGATGACTGCCTGGTTTCTGATGATTTGTCTGTAAACACCAACTCACATGGTTTAGTGGTGCGAAAGGGACTTCCTCTATCCACATGGTGAATCTTAACATGTGGCCCGAAAATGCTGGACGTCAGAGTACATCTGAGCACCAAAGAGAGGTGCCTGTGTTAAGCGCATCCCGGCGGCCATCCGCGCTGAAAGGAGCAGAGCCTCCCGCCACTGTCCTGCAGACGTCGGAATGCTTGGGGGTCTTTGTGTGGAAACCCAGGGGGTCCAACTTGGCTTGTGCCCAATGGGCCCGAATTTGCTGGCGCAATAGGCAGGGAATAAGAACTGGAGTGACCCTCATAAACCATCCAACTGGTGGCTTCCTTTCAAAAAACCAAAACCTGGGTTCTTTCCATTTCTACCTATCGCACCAGCAAGAAAACGGACACGGGCACGATGTTTTCCATGTGCGCCATGCAACGGGCCCTCTGTCCCAAAGTGGAAAAACCAACGCAGGGCGCCGCGGGGGGAACTCGACCCAACAACCGAACCCAACACAGCCGAACAGCCCATCAGCCTAGCACTAAGCCCCCAATAGTCAAACCCAACCAACCCAACAGAGCAACCCAGCAGCAACAGCCCACCAGCAGCCCAGGAGTCGGTCTCCTCGCTTGCTGCAGGCGCCGGCCGTCG